GGATGATAACACGCAACGTATTATGTACCCATTTTTGATATTTTTTACTTGTTTAATATCAACCACATTAAGTGCTTTGATTCGTCGAAAGAACGTTGAAGGTAAGAGGCATTAGCCAGTACATAGATTGATTGCATTCTTTCGATTAAAGAGGAAACACACTTATAAGCATAAGGGTAGGAGGGAAGAAGAGAGGAAAAGTAAAACAGAAGAAGAGAGAAAAAGTAGAAGAGAAGAAGACAGAAAACATCTTTCGTTTGCGGTTATATCTTAATAATACGTATTTTCATTTGAAAAATTAGATGTATATGTATTGGATGAGGTACTTACTTTACAACTTTTCTGTACAACATGATTGACTTATCCTATTTATTAAAATTCCTTGAAACAGATTCCAGTTTTCTGAACAGAATCCATAATCCGAACAAATTAAAGGTTTAATTTTAATTTAATTAATAAGCGAGTAACTAAACCGTAAAATTTTCTTGACGTATTACCGGATCATCGGCAGAACTACTTAAATTCAAAGACGAGATTACGATATCGTAATATCCGTATATGTATACTAAACAGTTGTTGTCTATCTTTTTAACATTAATATTTCGTATCAAAATTAGATAATAAATTGGAATTAAGATGTCACTGATAAAATTATACAAGTTTGACAAGAATGGACATTGTAAATTGCTTTAACAAGATAAGTTCCCAATGTCTTCTACACTTCAATTTTATTGCTTTTGCTAATCTTAGATCATTATCAAATGAATTATCTCCTTCTTTCTTGAGTATACAACACAGTATTATGTATACTATTTAATTTACAACAGAAAACAAAAACATACAAGAGAATAAGAAAGAAAGGAACAGGAGTAAACACTCTCACCAAAAGGAAGATATAGTATTATTTTCTCAGTGACAAATTTTATTAGAGAATAAAAAAATTAAGTCATAGTTGTATAAATAGAACTATGCACATAACCAGTCTTGGATTACTTTACCAAAATCTTAACTCTGATATTTAGAGTTCTTTCTTAATCCTTTATAAATGTGAGGTATTTCATGTACTAGTCGAATACTTTCTTCTTTTGCCTTAGCTATAGCTTTGTTCAACTTGCGTGTCTATAAAATTTATATACATAGATCCTCTATATTTTTCATTATATCTATAAGTAATTAATTCATTTCATAAAGTAATACTTACGCATTCTTTTATTGCATATTTTTTGAACAAATCAAATAACTCATACACAGTCCATGAAGTCTCATCAGGTTTTCCTAAACTGATAAAGAAACATTCTGAATGATGTTTTACATGCTCGTCCCTGAAAGTAATTGGAATTAAGTTACATAGTTGACATTAATACTAAATTAATAAAATCATTCCAGTACATACCATGGATCATCATCAGGATCCCAGCCATCAAGTTGTTTGGAGCAAATAAAACATTCAACCAAGTCAGGTTCTTCCTTACCACCTACAGCAAAAAAACCAGCAGCAGCCATTTTCTCAGGATTACATGAATTATCAGAGGACTGAAAAGGCCAATCTTCGAACGTCTTTAATCTACCAATTTTCCAAAACATTGAATCGTGCTCTCTAAACAGGCGAACATATAGCTAATTTAGGTTATACTGCATATTTGATCTTTATACTGAGAATTAAGTGATATAGATTATCGTAACAATATCGTCAATTATTATTATAAGTAGAGAGTAAAATAATATAAAATGATGCTTACGGTAGTAAATCCATAATTGTATAAAATACGAGAATTTTTATTTTCAAGCAAGATACGTTACGTTAAAATCCACCGCGGTCCACATAAACACATCATAAGTGCTGCGATCTATGCCTTCTTTACGTCATAATCTATGATATCCTATGCAGACGAAGTACATGAATATGTATGCAAGTCGTATCAGTACTATGAATCTGCATATGCATTTTTGTATCTTATGATTTTGAATCTGTTTTTACGTCATATGAGATTTCATCGATTCAGTATAAATAAGATTCAATTAGTATAGGTCTAAATCTAATGTAATTATAGAATGACAAATTATTATTATAAATAAAATACTATGATATATATTTCCTTCTTGAATGAACCGTTGATTCTATGAGAATCTATGTATGAGAAATTATGTATATAGTATATAATATGTAGTATATAGTATGTAGATGTTATTACTATGTTCTTAACCTTTTCGGTACGAGCGCTGTCTATGCTCGATAATCACCGAATACATACATCCCCACGGTCGTCTATCGACTAATGTCAATAATAAATATACGAGGCAACTAATAAAAATATTTACGTCAAGTACCATTACGCGGCGGATGAGCGCCGTACCGAAGAGGGTGATCTTTTTTCCAATGAATAGTTTCATCTTCGAAATTGTTAATGCTATGATTATTATGTTACATTTTTATTTTTATTCTTGTGAATCGAATTCAATCCCTTTGCAGTTTATTTTTTATTATTACAATTCAGTGTAATATCAAATGTTTCCTTTCCATAATATTTGCAAACTAAATTTATTTTCTTTTTAAGTATGGCTATTCGCATGTAACAATGTGTATCGGTTAAAGTTTTCATTTTCACTTAGAGTTTTAGACTGTCTTTTAGGGACAAAAAACCAATCAAATAAAGAGTCTTTCGCCTGGAATAGATGACAGAATCAACGTATTATACTTTAAAAAAAATTGTTTTATATATTTTTACTTCTATGGTAATACTTTTAATTCACGGATCATTATCGTATAAATATCGCAATAATTCTGGAATATTCTTACCATTAACTGCAATTTCATCACTAGGTTTCTTCAAGAAGGAAAAAATCAAATACCAAGAAATTACGAAACTAATTATAATAATGACGGGCAAATAAGAATGTATTGAGTGTACAATACTACCTTCAGAAACGATATTTTGTTACCAATAAAGGCAAAATACTATTTTACATATTATTCTAAAAGATGGTCTGATTATAATGGTCTGACTGACTGTAATAGTTTTTTACTAAATATATGTTTGCAGAGAATATTTTCAGATTTGTTTCAAATTTTGAACGATTAGTATATATTTCAAAACATCTGACGCAAAGTTCCGCAAGCCGTAAGATGTCACGTCTGTTCAGTAGTCCATCTGTGATTCTATTATCGATATTTTCCATGCTAGTTTTCGATATTACCAACTTTTGTTATTTTCATTAATAAGAATATCATCAAATTATAAAAAGTAATCATGAAGACAACAGCGGCGATGAAAAATCAAAAACTGAAAATTTTATTCACTACTTTTTAAACGTGTTTTTTCTTAAATTTCTATCTATCTTTTTTTTAATTTTACCTCTTACGTCTTATTTCTTTTACTATAAACTGTAATTATATGTATAGTACGTATTAGTTATGTTCATCGATAACTATTTCGATATTCGTTATTACTTACACCTGTTGTGATTGCCATGGCGACGCAATTCTTATGCTGTTAGGAAGAGTTCGTGTATTACAAGCTATCAGTTGATTATAATAAAAGTCGACTCGAGTTATTATAATATTATCTTTCATTATGTCCCTAAAAGAACTTGAAATATTCGGAATAATAGCATTTGACGGTTAGTAATTACAATCATTTCGCAATAATGAGAATTTATTGAATTTCCAATATAAAAAGAACTTTATCATAATCATATAGCATATATGTATGTACAGCATATGTGTAAACACACCCGCATACACTCATATACACAATATATGTAATAAAATTGACTGATCACATTTGTCACAGTGTCATGTAATCCAAAAACTTTATACGTGTATATATGCATATAAAAGAAATAGGTATATGTATATGTTTTAAGCTTGCTTTTGCTATTTGCTATGATATTTTTGTGTCATTTATCGTGTATGAAGGTCTAGAGTTTGTGTTTGGTAATATATCACGAATATTATTCTTTCATTTACCATAAAAATTACAGTCTGAATATCATGTTTATTTGTAGGTGTAATAAGAAACGGTTTACGATTACATCCTGATGGAGAACACCTTGTGTATCCAATGGGTAACAAAATTACTATCAAACATGTAAAAACGGGTGAACAATTCTTTCTTACTGGACATAAGAATTTCGTTTCCGCTTTATGTATTTCATCTTCAGGCGATCTGATAGCTTCCGGCCAAATAAACCATCATGGTTTTAAGGTAGATTCATTTAAGCTGGATTGAATAGTTAATTTCCAGACTGCGGATATTTGTGTAAATTAGTATTTTTTTATATTCATATATTTCTTTAAATATAATAAATCTAGATAGAAATATATGTAATAGTTTATGTACTTTGCATATTATATGTATGCATACTATTTTTACATCTTTATATTTTCCATAGAAGTATAAAAATTTACAATGTATCAATTTCATTAACTTCAAAATTAACTAAGAGAGATCGAATACTTTATTCAAGGCAATGGTTATAATATGGGATTATAGAAATCGTAAAATGAAATCTAACTATGAAATGCACAAAGTTAGAGTCGAAGACGTGTGTTTTACGGAAAATGGACAGTATCTTATTAGTCTCGGAGGCAGAGATGATGGTCGTATCATAATATGGGATATTGAAAATGGAACTCCTCTTTGTGGTAGATATCTCCCTCTCTCCCTCTCTCTCTCTGTTTCTACATATGTATATATGTATTTTAACGCATCAAAGATTAAACAGCAAAGAAATAGATAAAAGTTATGTAAATATAACATTATCATAAAACGTAACTAAAGCACATATCTATATTACTTCCTCAAGGTAAAAAATACATTTGAATAATAGATACTTAGCAATAAGACACTACAAATATATTAGAATTACAGGTATAAAAGTTCATTACATAAATCAAAGCCACAAAAAATATTTTTACAATTATAAAAAAAAATAATTTTTATTACTGTGCTTAATAATACTCCAATTTCTTTAAGCTTCATAGCATGATAAATCTAGGTGAAGAAATAGTGATAAATAAAATATGAAGCAAATTTTGAAAAAATCTTTCATAACTGTAATCTTGCAAACAGAATTGAAGTATCTAAATTAACTGAAAAAAGCGTTAACTTACGTCTTTAATGAGATAATTTATGTCCGTCAGTTCTGTGAGTGGTACTCATATTATACTGTTACACATTATACAGGTACTTCTGCTGGAAACGAAACATGTGGAAATATTATAATAATTGCACGAGCTAACATTTGTAAAACAAGTTTTATCACTGGCGGCGACAGGAATCTTAAATTATGGCGTATCAACTCAAAGGATCAAAAGTTATATGGGACAGATATAAAAGTTGGAAAGATCAAACGTTCGATTAACTGTGCAGTTATAGATGAGAACGATGAAAATGTTTATTGCGGAACAACATCTGGCGATATCATAAAAGCAAGGTTACTCGTTTGATGATATCGATGATAATAATTTTAACCTTTTGCACCTGAGAGGCGTGTTAAGTTTTAACTAGAGAATGATTAATTGCCTTTCTTTACCTTTGCCCATAAAATAATTGAAAAGTTTTGTTTCTTTCGAATAGGCTAAACATAGAAGAATCCGAGGAAGGAACTAAATATCCCGTAATGATAGGATGTTATTCGAAGATACCAACGAACAAGGGAGCACGCATGAGGAACGCAAATGGACTTCACATAAAAGTATATCCAGGTGGTGTGAAAAACTTGTTGCTTTTAAAGAAAGACAAGTTAATCGTAGGTACTGGCGATGGAACAGTCGAATTAATTGAAATAAGGAAAGACTCAAAACTTAATGCAAATAAAACGAACAAGTCACTAACCATACCCGCTATAGTAGCAGTGAGTATACATAATTTCTCACAAACATGTATATTATATTTTCTTGTGTATATGTATGTACCATATGTAAAATAAAAATGTAAGGTTTTACAGCAATAAGGAGGCAACTTCAATATCTAAATTCTATTTATTGGTTATATTGGTTTCAATCATTCCACATCCGCTTGTATATTATTGTATCTTATTCTTAATACATTCATTACCATTGTGTCTACGTCATATGCAATATCTAATATGAATTCTCTATATCAAGAAACCACAACAGAGCACAACAAATAACAATATTTAAAAAAATAATTTTCTTTGTTGCATAGTATCGCACAACGAATGTGTGTGCCATGGTAACGTCCATGATCCGCTATCAAAATAATTTGGTATTAGTAGGAACCGCCTTATGTGAGATTTATGAGATCGAATTATCAAGCTTTCAGATGCGTTTAATCGTCACTTGTCACACCAGTTCGATATATGATTTAGCATTTCCAAGGTAAATCATTTGTTTCCACATTTAACAAACTACTTTTATTCGAGATACTTAAAACCGCAGGGATGTAACTGATACTTTCCTTATGTCGAGCTTACTTACTTAAAATTCAGAAATATTAAAAAGTTGCAGGTGAGGTATCTATAAAAATTAAATCATATTCTTTGTTTGACATATACACAAATTTTTAATGAGTTTCATCTTTTACTTTGAGTATAGAGATTTGGGGAAACAACTTACACCATTTTAATATCAACAACTTTTTCATAAGCAACGTTCTGAAAAAGAAGTGACGTAAAATGCGAAGCAACATATTCTAAAACCGTGCTAATGCTAGAAAATGTGTTTATTGCAGATATAAATAACTGAGATAGTTTTAGATTTGCATTGGGCTTATCTTTACAACCTGTCGTATTCGACAATGATCTATTACAGCAGAAGATAAACAATCTATAACATTTTACGAACTAAAAATAAAGTTTAATAATGCACACACAACAACAGTGTCTTGTCACTAATAGTAGGTTGAATTTATACTACAGTTATATCGCAGAAAAAATCGCTTGCGTCCATTTGCCCTCAATTTACTTATATAGTTCCCTTAGCAGTTAATTTTTATAGCCTCTAAATGATACTTTTATACAACTTGGGATTATTTACATTATATGGACCTTATTTTTTAATGCCATAGTGAACCATCTCTTTGGTTTTAAATCATCTCATCTGTATTTTATAAAAAATACAAAGAGAAAATAAAGTGCATAAAAATCCTATTATTTTTGTAGCAATAGTTCAGAGATATTTGCAACCGCTAGTAAAAATGACATACGAATATGGAAGTTGGCCACCCAAAAAGAATTACTCCGAATCACCGTGTCAAATTTTACTTGTTCCAGTATATGTTTCAATAGTAATGGTGGTTCTATAATATCGGGTAAGTTAATAGCATACAGTGACGAACAAAAGTATTGACGCAGACAAACTCATTTCGTGAACTTCTAGGTGAATTTGTACAAAATACGATCTTTTACTCAACTTTTTTATAAAATATGAGAAGCAGCATAATTCTTATAAGGAATTAAAATTTCTGTTTCGGTTACGATTCGTTATATCGCTTTTTATTTATTTGCAAAATATTATTATTTATTTCTAAAACAGTTCTGGAACGACTGTTGTATCGATTATACAGTAGGTAATTAAAATTCAGATTTCATAAGATTTCACAAGAAAATTCGATTTCTGCCAATATTTTTGTTCATTACTGTACGTTGCCACGTATCGTGCATAATTTAATTTGCGTTAATCTATTGGAGGAAGCTTGGAACGATGGCACGATAAGAGGATTTGCTTTGAATGGCGGAAAACTACTATTCGAAATTAATTGCGCTCACACAAAATCTGTGTCAACAATCACTATTACCAAAGATGACGATAAACTGATTAGCGGTGGTTGTGATGGACAGGTATACAAGCTTTATACCCCCTTAAATTTTCGAATTAGAATGCTCGTTGTTGTTCTTTGTTGGAGCAATGTTTCAATTTCGGTCTATTAAAACGCACACCTTCGTTTAGGTGCGAATATGGAATGCAAAATCTGAATTACGACATTTATTGCAAGTCCTAAAAGAACACAGAGGTCCAATAACGTCATTACACGTTTCACCTGATAACAAGAGTTTGATCAGTTCTAGCACAGATGGTACATGTATATTATGGGATTTAAGGTAATAATCCGGCAACCATAAAAATTATAAACCTAAACTATCATGCATATTTGGATACTTGGTACAATTTAATCAAAAGATTGTGAACTAATGTACAGAGTGTATAAAAAGTAAGTAAAAAAAGATTCATGCAAAATTGACTAAGTATGATTGTCAAGGTCAAAGCCTTTTTTATTGTAGCACATTCTATTCGTCGCAAACAACAAAAATTTCAAAGGAACCATGGGTCGCAAATGACTTCTTCTCCCGGAAAAAAATGTTAAAGTTTTAAAATTCTTAAACCAGCTTTATTCACAATGTGCTTACATATTACAGTGATATACCACCAAAGCATAGCACCTACTGTTACACGTAGATGCTCTAGATTCACCATTATATATTCTATATCTTCCTTTATTTCTTTTTCTCTTACTGTCTATTTAAATAGCCCCGAACTTGCATTTCTATATCTCCGTCAGTTCCTCCCCACGATTATGTATTGATTCTGTATGACAAAAACCACATTGAATCGGATGTTGTAGTTGTTTACGTAAGTTGTAACGGACGTAATCCGTTAAAAAAAAAAGATCCGTTGCCGTCAAATCTTATGAACAAGGAGGCCGTATGTGAAGAACAGGTCTATGTCCTATCCGTCTTGTTCAAAAGATTTTGTTTAAAAATTGGTATACCGATCAGCTATGGTGAGGTGGAGTACCACTGTGTAACCAAAAAAATGTTGACCTTAAAAATCATGCTTAAGGTCAATTTTGCACGAACTTTTTTTTACAAATCTTCGCCGATCCTGGAGTGTAGAATCACACTACAATAAATTTTACACTTTTTATACACCCTGTACGCAAAAGACTTCAACATTAACAAAGAATTCAAATTATGATAACTCTTATAACTATTATTACAATACGCGATTTTACTCATTTTTTTCTGTAGAAATTTCACGAGGAAGTTCATGCTGAGTGGAAGCACAATGTATATGGCAACATGTTTTGTTCCTACCGGCGTTCAAATTTTAACATGTGGTACAGATCGCAAAATAGCTTATTGGGAAACATTGGATGGTTCATTGGTTCGGGAAATTGAAGGTTCAATGGCGGGGACCTTAAATACTATAAGTATTAGTCATGACGGACAATATTTTCTCACTGGATCAGAAGATTCTATTGTAAAACTATGGGAATATCGTACCGCTAGTACTATTCGTTTGGGTCTTGCACACGCTGCTGCCGTTACTCGTTGTGTCTTTGCTCCAAACAATAAATTTATTGTTACGGCAAGTGCAGACGGTGCTATAATGCTTTGGGAATACCCCTTTTCGGAATCATCGATTACACCGATTAAAGACGATACCAAACAACACACGCTAGAACCAACATCAGTACCTTGCCCATCGAAAACGGACGACATGTGTGAACCAAATTGTAAATAATACACTACATAAACTGCAATACACATTCACCAATTACTCGAATATCTCACAATAAATCAAAATTAATTGTCAATAAATTCGATGACTATGATTCCACACAGAAAGATTCACATAATCACGTAAAAGATTCGATTATATCTTATTTTTAAAGCGAAATATTTCACTTCTTTGTGTGAGCAATATCATTGAATTGTTCTACACTACCATAAACCAAACCGTATTTCACATAAAACCTGTTAGTACAAAACGATTCAATGCATACAAATGATGATAGAGAGAAAGAACAATCTTTTTTATAAATGTTCTTTTTTAAGAATAAATCATCTATTCCTTATTTAACTTATTTTTTTTAACTTATTTTATTATCCTTATTTTTTGTATAATTATTTTTCAACAAGAAAGAGGAAACAAAAAGGATTAGGAAGCAAATAACAAAAATAGATCATTTTCTATAATTATAGTAACAGTTATAATCAATATTTTACAGTATCTTCACCTTATTTTCTGATATTTCATGAAATCTGTTATATTATCCCATGATTAAATTTGAAATACTCATTGAATACTTATTAAATAGAGTTTATATATAATATCTAAGAAAGTAAATGATGATGAAAGTATTAAAATGATTGTAATATATTTATGTGATAATTCATAAAATTATTGTATTTCGAAACAACACTTAACCCCAAGCTTGGCTTTTACAATAGTGAAGTATTAATTTTCCATCCGCACCATAACAATCATACAAGTTTTTTACTACCTGATCTGGTGCAGGCGCAAATGTTTGATTTACATAAAGAAACTAGCAAAGGAAAAAATGTATTTATATATGTAAAAACATTACAAATTCTAGAATAGATATAACCCTTACTTAACACTTACCAGTTTTTCATTCGAATCTAATTTAAGGTATCTTCTGATAAAATCGGAAATTCGACCAATGCAATAATCTTGACTGACAGACCATTTCTTTTGTTTCATTATCGGTGCGTTCCCAGTTGCTTTCAACAAAATATCAACTGAAAAATTGGTCAAATACAGATAAGATAATCATTTTGCACTGACTCTGAGCTTGTTAAGTTTAAATTTAATATTATATCTCCTCTGCAAATAGCAAGTCTTTTACTTTTTGCTCTATCCTTTGAAGCAACTTGAACTCCATTTCGTACTAATGGTGTTTCCGAAGGTATTGTTTCAAGACTAGCAGGTGTATCTTCATTTGTTAAAGTTTCTCCCATTTCCTCAGATTTTTCAGTTATAGTCACATCATTTCCTTCCTTCTCGGACATTATGTATGTTCGATTACAATTTTAAACGTTTGTCAAGAAAGAAAGATCGTGTCATTGGGACCTAACCAAACTATGCAAGATTGAAATAAAGTATAAAATTGCCATAAAAGATAAATTACATAAAGGCAATCTTCAATCGAGTAAAAAGTAAATGTCTTAACGTTATCTTAAATTATTTCAGTGAAATGAATAATTTTCATGCACAAAACATGTTTCACAGACTTAATAATTTTTATTGGATTTTATAAATATTCACTTTGGTATGTCACACAGGGACTCAGATCCATGATATATTAATTCTTTATCAAAATAAATATGTGTATAAGACAAATATATTAAGGCAAACGTATCGTTTCTTAGTATTGTCTTTTCTTAATAATTTCAGCAAATTAGAACACTAATATTTGCTAATATGCTGGTATAAAAAATTGAATGTTGTCATATTTGTACTGCATCTAGGGAAATTCGAATCTCATGATAAGTAATTGCGATTTACATTGATGTTAAGACAAGTGCGTGAAGCTTTAAAATAATCTTATGTTTTGGGGACGAATTCGAAATAAGAAATTATTTTATCTTCTAGTCCTAATAAAGTATAATATCAATACTAAACTACTCTTGCTATTATTTTATTTTTCCTATATAATTACTGTAGAAAAAAAATATATTTTCACAGTAAATGAAAAGAGTGAATGACTTCCCATACACGTGGCGCCATAATTACTAGCAGTGTGAGATCATGATCTTGGACTAAAGCAGCAGTCCCCTATAGAAATATACCTATGAGTTCGAGTTCGTTTAAGTTTAACATTTGTTAGTGCTATTTTACAAATGGTGGATGACAATCAGTTTTGAGTCATGTGGGATAGGAGAAATATTAGATTTATGTGAATTATACATATAAAATTATATGTAAAGATACCCCTCTAGTATATTTGGATAAAGAGAGATAAATAAAAAGAAAATATATAAAACTTTAAATAAAGAGCGATTATTTGCTAAAATTAACCGTGTCGGTTTTGTTGGAATAGTTGGAGGAATTGATATTTCAATCAAGGTAAGATTAATATTTTTACATATCTAATATATTTATACTTCTAATGTTAAATTATTTAATTGATGATCCTCTTTGAATAAAGGTCGAGAGATTTGGATTGTAATAAAATTGTGAAAATGGAGGTGGATTATAGCAGCAACTGCGATATAAAAATACCAGAATGTAAAAAACTAGCACATGAAGGAAAGCTACATGATGCTTTGGATCAATTATTAGCGTTAGAAAAATTAACACGAACAGTTAAGATTTTAAAATATTACTATATGTAACTATATAATCATGTTTGATTATAGTATGCAAATAATGAAAATAATGTTGGGTATTTTTTAGAGTGCAGATATGACATCTACATCACGGATCCTTGTGGCTATTGTTCAGATTTGTTTAGAAGCAAAGAACTGGGCTGTTCTAAATGAACATATAGTGTTGTTGTCCAAAAGACGTTCTCAGTTAAAACGAGCTGTTACAAAAATGGTTCAGGAATGTTGCACCTACGTAGATAAAATGCCTGATAAAGAGACCAAAATAAAGTTAATAGAGACATTGCGTGCTGTAACTGAAGGAAAGGTAAAGGATTTGAGCCCTGTGATTGTTTCAAGTTGTATTTTTAAAGATTCTGAAAAATCAATATAATTCTGTTGTTGAAGATATACGTAGAAGTTGAAAGAGCAAGGCTTACCCATCGCTTGGCAAAAATCAAAGAAGAGGATGGAGATATCTCAGGTGCAGCAGCTGTTATGCTGGAATTACAGGTATGAATTTCTCAGAAACATATTAGGCAATTAAACATTGAAACATAATAATATCATACTATACTACCTGTTCTAGGTTGAAACATATGGTACCATGTCACGTTTGGAGAAAGCATCTCTTATCCTAGAGCAAATGCGATTATGTTTAGCAAAAAAAGATTTTATGCGTACACAAATAATAGCAAAGAAAATTAATGTTAAATTCTTTAGTGATGAAAATGATGAAGAAACTCAGACTCTCAAATTGAAATATTATGAGTAAGTATACTATTATTAAACTGTCTAAACGAGTATGAAACTGAAACTTATTGCTTAACAAATTTTGTTTATTTCAGTCTAATGATGGAATTGGCCCGGCATGAAGGCTGGCATTTAGAGTTATGTAGACATAATCGAGCAGTGTTGGAAACTCCAGCTGTTAGAGATGATCCTGAAAAAAGACACGCCGCTCTTTCACGTGCTGTTCTTTATCTTGTACTTGCACCACATGAACCAGAACAAGCTGATTTGACCCATAGGCTGCTTAATGACAAGCTTCTAGATGAAATACCAACATACAAGTATTACTTGTTTACTTTTGACAAAAATATTTAAATATGTGCATAGAACCTTCTATTTTCTATACTGACAGTCAGTTTTTATTTGCTTAATTTTTTTTAGAGAACTGTTACGTCTTTTTGTAAATCCAGAACTAATAAAATGGTCAGGACTGTGTGAAATTTATGAAAAAGACCTTAAAGCTACGGAGGTTTTTAGTACTTGGACTGAAGAAGGTCGTAAGCGATGGGCTGATCTCCGAAATCGCGTCGTTGAACATGTGAGTTTGAAACCTCAGAATCGTTTCATTTCATATTGACGTATTTGCATTGAATATTTATTCTATCTCCTTTAACGTTTAGAACATTAGGATTATGGCAAAATATTACACAAAAATTACACTAACTCGCATGGCAGAATTATTGGATTTACCAGTTGAAGAAACTGAAGCATGTCTATGCAGTTTAGTAGAAACTGGCGTGATAAATGCTCGTACAGATCGACCAGCCGGTGTAGTTCGTTTCACAGGAACCCAAGAACCAGCTGCTCTTTTGGATGCCTGGGCTGCATCTTTATCAAAATTAATGAGCCTTGTAAATCACACAACTCATCTTATTCACCAAGAAGAAATGTTGGCCGTAGCTCAATCCTGAAAGACGAATTTCTCCTTTCTCTTTCTCCCTTATCCTCTGCCTCTTTTTCCCTCCTCTCTTTACGCTATACTCTCTTTTTCTTCAAATTTCTTCTTTACTAAATCCTTTATAAAAATTATTTGTACGAAACTATTACACATAAACAATTATACAGTTTGTATGTGCGACCTAAAGAAAGCATTTAACGAGCTCCTTTCGATCTGTTTTTAACGCGTGTACTAGATCGTAAAATAAACATTATGCGAAGTATAAAACATCTTTTTTTTATTCGCTTTTTCATTAAGTAATACATCGTAAATGTACATTCAAATTGCTCTTACAAATTTTATTAACAGTAAAATTCAATATCTTCTTCTCGTTTTCGTTATTTATTATAACCGTCCAATACACAAAAATACGCCAGTTTTTTCTGCGAGTATCAAGTTCAAATAAATAATTTGTAGGATAAAACAACTTCCCCAAATTGCGGCAATATTTTATTATTGTCCATTATAGGTTTCAATAATACTTATTGACCATGTTATTCGTCATATTTTTAACATTGTATATGTTTTAACAAATAATATCTATCACGCTATTGTAACTTCTTCTCAATTTGTAAAATTCGTTATATTATACATAAAAGATAGTGTAAAAATTTATATATATATAATTTGTATTATGTTCACAAAAGATTTATATAGTAAAAAAAAAAAAAAAACTTATATATAGTGATCTCATTGAATTAAATTTCTACATATAATAACTCGAATATTTCACTTATAGAAATATTCTCTTATCAATTGGACTATTGTGCGAATTGCATTTTATTCATCAAACAGTTATCCGACATTTTGCTGATACCGACATTCTGATAAAATAACAGACAATGAGTATCGAGTACACCCTTCTTTCCCCTTTAACCCTTAACGGGTAGAACGTGCGATAATATTTCTTTTGTAATAAAAAAAAGTACGTTCAATGTAATAAACGTATGTAATAAAAATGAACAATAGTTCATAATTCAAAAGTATAATTTACAGTTTTTGTTGCGACCGTCTTTCAATCGAAAAAAGATATCGTTTCAAGGTTTACACCTGACGTTTTGGTCAATAGCGATGCTATCGCAAGAAACACTTGCACTATTTGATTTGGTATCTAAAGTATAAAAGAAAGACAAACGCTATAGTGTTAATAATAAACTTTTATAAGAGAACGAAAGATTCTTACTGCTTTCGATAGTTTTGCGTACAAGCGCTACCGCCTCTGCATAAGAAGGCGGAGGTAATTCATTGCAAATTTCTTGAGCGATTGCTTCGTAAGAGGGTGGACCTGGAGTTTGTATGTCAATACGTTCGATACCACGAGCACCGCTCAATTCCTGTAAATGCTATATTCAACGATTAAATCATTTTGAACTATTCACCAATAAATTTGTTTATTTTCATTGAATTTAATACATTTGAAGATAAAAATAATTTGGCAGGTAATGGAAGTATAGGTATCAATGAAGTTTAATTGAATGTATAAGTGTTATATATTTAAGTTTTATTCATTATATATCCGTAACGTATGTACATTATTTATTGAATAATTGAAATTAATATTTACATTTTCGTGTAAAGAAACCGTATCTAACGAAACTTCATTGGTGCCCATCTCCACTACTTATCCATTTATTTTTGTCACCGATTGTATATCTTAACTACATTTGTAACCCAAATGTATTTACTATTTTGTATGTACTTTAATATTCGGATGATCTTTATTTGATCACACATCGAAAATTGTGCAAAACGTGCAACATACACAATATATACTTTTCGAGAATCGGTACTTTTCTAATAATTGCTTTATGACATAGCTAATAATATATAACGTATAATTTATGTGAATGTTATAAAAATCAAGGACGTATGAAATTAATTAATCAAAAACTATTCAAATATCAAAAAAATTGGAAAAGAACAGTTACTTACTCTGAACAATTGTCGTTGATGAAATATCATCTGTATAACGGACTTTCGTCGCAGGTAAAGCATACATTTGACAGCTACCATTAGTCCAGAACAAATGAATATTGGACCAATAAGCCACATGTGACCAAGTTTAAAAAATATGTGTCCGCCTACGATATCGTCCAAAGAAAAAATAGTAATAGCTGTCCCAATCATAAACAGAATAACGCTCAATGCAAGATAGCTATAGCTAGTACAGTCACATTTGCCAAAAGTGTTTGCCGATTCTTCATATCGTTCCTCAACACGATGTGCTCTATTCGATAAGAACGAACTTTCGAAAACCGTAGCCATATTCCATTAATAATAACCAAACGCAAGATTGAAATTGGATCGGCCGGGGACAAACCAGAACGAACTAACCTACCTATGTTACACTTAAATCCCTTGCGTTCTGCACTTGAAAATATTACTTTCTCTTTCGAAAATTTCTCCGAAACTTTACTTCTAGCGAATATTAAATTCTAATCACGTAGAAACAAAAATAATAAAATAAAAGTCATTTTAGTACTTAAGGGAAAATAATAGAGCAGGTATTAATCTTAATAACTGAGAATACATTCCGTTCCTTATGTATGTTGGCGATACCGGGTATGTAATAATAATAAGAATAATTAAATGGTATTCAGTTTAATATTACGTGTCTCGTCTATTTTTTATCAGAAAAATCATATCTTTACAATTAAAAATGTTTATAATAATATACATCGAAAGTTAGTGATCTGATTTGAATGTTCAAGAAAAGCAGTATTTATCTAACGAAATATATGATTGTATCTACAAAATAAAATTCAGTAGATATGTACAGATTACTTATTAACCGAACATTAGTTACAAATCAAGTTCTAAGGAAAACAAGTGACGAAGTAGCCGGTAGTGTTAAGAAAAATACCAAAATTACATCAAAAGGACAACAAAAATATACAGAAACTGTTCTGCTTCCACGAACCGAATTTCCTGTACAACTTAATGGGAAAGCACGAATAGAGGCAGATAAACGCTTAACTGAAGTAAGTCATTATATTCTTAAGTATTCTATTGTTTATTTAAATATTTATTCTTCTAATTATATCATTATAGAAGTGTGGTTTTTCTGAATTGTACGAGTGGCAAAAGAAAAATCTTTCAGGGCCAGATTTTGTTTTACACGATGGGCCTCCTTATGCAAATGGAATTCCTCATATGGGACATGTTATCAATAAGGTTTTGTATTTTTGCAATAATTCCTTTTCTAGATTATGCATTTCTCTAGCTGTTTTAATGGATTCTTACAGATTTTGAAGGATGTAACATTAAGACATAAGATTATAAATGGAAATCGAATTCATTATGTACCCGGTTGGGATTGTCATGGATTACCAATTGAGTTAAAGGCTATTAAAGGTTATGAAAGTGAAAATGATCCTTTAGAGATTAGGAAAAAAGGTATAATTTATAGGTTTTTAGATCATAAATTTCTTTCATTATTAGTTCATATAATATGATATATAATCAATATTTAATGTTAAATCTTTCTATTTATTGTATTATTACTTTATTCTTTTTTTATGTACATTCAGCCCGTAATTATGCTGAAGAAGCTATTGCTAGACAGAAACAAGCTTTCCAGTCATGGGGTGTGACAGCCAATTGGAGTGAATCTGAATGTTATTTTACCAGTCACTCATCATATATGAAAAATGAACTTCATCAATTTATAAAATTGTATGAGAAAGATATTATATTTAGAGATTTCATGCCAGTTTATTGGTCTCCTTCTTCAAGGTAAAATATTCAAGACGGAATAACTTAATTTCAGTTTTTTAGAAGTTTACAATTTTATCTTTATATCTTATATTATAGAACAGCATTAGCTGAATCTGAATTAGAATACAATCAACAGCATCAAAGTAAAGCTGTGACTGTTCGTCTACGCATTAATGATATTCCAGAAAGGTTAAAATCATTTAAAAATCATGCTGTATATGCATTAATATGGACCACTACATCATGGAGTTTAGTGGCTAATCAAGCTATATCTTTCTCTTCAGATGCTACATATTGTCTTGCTGAAGATGATAAAAAAGACTTATATATTGTTGCTAAAGAACTATTAGGAACTACTGAATCAAAGATTGGTCCTTTGAAACCAATAGTATCCTTCGAAGGTAAATTCGAAAAGTTAATTTGTATTTTTTAAATATTACTCGTCATTTTTTTATTTCAAATTTAACATAGATGAGTTAGGGAGATAAGTAGATAATATATGTTTCATTAGGCAAAGAATTGGAGGGCAGCACGTACTTTCATCCTTTCACTGAACAAAAATGCCCTTTATTAGCTGCAAGTCACGTTACGACAAATGAGGGAACAGGTTTAGTTCATACTGCTCCTGCACATGGTCCAGAAGATTTTCTAGTTGCACTCAAAAATAAAATTCCCATTGTAAGCTAATTTTTTCTTGTTTGTAACGAATAATATTAGTATAATATCAATGTTAGATATTATTCTCAATATAATATCAATATTTAATAATGCCGTGGGGTATGCTATAGTTATCCATGGTAGACTCTAAAGGTCTGTACACTGAAGAGGCTGGGCCAGAATTTTATGGATTAGAAGTATTAACAGAGGGAGTTGATAAAGTGATGAATCTCCTGGCTCGAGATATATTGCATGTGGAAACATTAACACACAGTTATCCGTATGATTGGCGAACAAAACAACCAGTTCTTATTCGTGCTAGTCATCAATGGTTCATTAATATAAATACTATCAGGGAAAAAATTATTGTAAGTCAACATTTTGCGACATTTTTCTATGATAAATTATCAAAAAATTTCGCTAAAACAAGGGGTATGTTCCCTTTATTATTTTCATAAGGAGAACTTTGCGAATGTGAATGTATATCCTAAATGTAATCGTACATCTTTTATGAATGCTTTACTTGCTGGAATAAGGAATCGACCGTATTGGTGTATTTCGCGACAACGTTCTTGGGGAACACCCATACCTGTAATATATAGCAAAACAACAGGCTTAGCATTTACGAATAAGTAAGTACGTATATATATATAGTTATTTATAATATACTGGCTTTACAGTATACATTTTTACTTATTGTTCTTTATACTTTTCCATTTTAGAGAATTAGTTGAACGTTTATGCGATTCGATAGATCGATATGGTCCTGATTGCTGGTGGGAATATTCTGTAAGAGATTTAATAGGATTAGACATAATTAAAAAATTGAATATTGATCCGAACGATATAGTAAAAGGAAATGTAAATTTCATTAAATTTTCAAGATTGAAGAAAGTAAAGTTTCAATATATCATTCATTAACATAAATCCTTCTTAGGATATCATGGACATTTGGTTCGATAGCGGAATTTCATGGTCAATGGTTTTACCAGACAAAAAAGCAAATCTTTATTTAGAAGGATATGATCAATTCAATGGTTGGTTTCAATCATCCCTAATAACATCTGTAGCTTTACAGGGATGTCCACCTTATAGGTAAATAAAACGAATATAAAATGTTTAAAAAATGGCTGTATCAATGTAAACGCATTTTTTTATTGTTTAGTGATTTATTTGTACATGGATTTGCAGTCGATGAAAAAGGCTTAAAAATGTCAAAATCAATAGGAAATGTAATAAATCCAGAAGAAATTTTGCTAGGTGGATCTAATTTGAAGAAAAATCCAGCTTACGGTGTCGATGTTTTAAGGTACTAAAATTTAATTTTATAGTATAATGGTAATATATTAATAATTTCATTTCATCTAGATGGTGGGTAGCTAATCACAGTTCCCAATATACACAAGTGCCGGTTTCAAAAAATTTACTCGATGAATGTAAAACATGCGTTAACAAACTTCGTTCAATACTGCGCTTCCTTCTGGGTTTTTTATATTATATTATATTAATAATTTCATTTCATCTAGATGGTGGGTAGCTAATCACAGTTCCCAACATACACAAGTGCCGGTTTCAAAAAATTTACTCGATGAATGTAAAACAAGCATTAACAAACTTCGTTTAATACTGCGCTTCCTTCTGGGTACTTTACATCATCATCCGGGTATAAATTGCAAACCTGAATATCGAATTATTGATAAATACATGTTGTACTTATTATATTCGTATAATAAACAGGTAATTTGATCTTATTCTTCAATTAGGAAATTAAACATGTTACTGTATTATTATATTACAAACTAATATGTCATTAGATGCAGCAACATTATAACAACTATGAGTATCATCATGCGGGTAAAACGACTATGCATTTTATAACAAATGATGTATCAGGTCTTTACTGTACTATAATAAAAGATAGACTTTATTGTGACGAGGTAACATCTTCGATGCGCACTGCAGCTGTGCAAGTTATAAAAGAAATTCTGAATGTTCTTATCAGATCCATTGCACCAATTCTACCTCATCTAGCAGAAGAAGCATGGCTATATCATCCCGAAAATATCAGTATGTTATAGTCCTTTTCTATGAGAAATATGTGATTTCAAGACACTTTTTTATTAATTAAACTTAATCTTAATTATAATGTACAGCATCGATACCATTGCACTGTACGCAATATAAAATATCAGAGTCATGGAATGATTCAAAAATCGCACAATACATAGATGCGGCAATTCGATTGAGAAATAATGTTTTAAAGGTCGCTGATAAAACTACATGGAAATTATATGGCGTTATAGAAGCTACAAAAGATGATTTTGTTTTGCTTTCTGTGAGTATTATTTATACAAAAGAAACTAAAGTTATGTTTTGTATATTATTGAGTGAACACTCGATATTATATGAATGTGTGCACTGACTTATACTTTCTCTATTTACGTAGCTTCTTCACGACCAGCAAAAACCATCAATGTCTGAATTATGTGAAATATTACAACTGTCGTCGGTTACATTAATTGAAAATCATACTATCAATGAAACACAAATCCAACTATACGACATCCAGGAGAAGTTGTGCGAACGTTGTAGGAGATATCCTGAAAGTCAGGAAGATGATCTATGTCCACGTTGTGTTAATGTACTTACTAAAAATAAACCATTGATTGCGGCTGTGTAATAATTTTTATCGAAAATGCTGTTTCATATGATTTATCCTTACTCTTTCCAATTCTGATAACAAAAGCAATCATTAATCTCTTATGAATATATTTCAAAAACTTATGAAAAATCTTTTGTTTGTTGTTAATTATTTGTATGTACAATAACTTTGAGAAGAACAAAAAATGTAAAGATTACAGCAGTGAGGATATTGGCATAGTAAATTCTTAAATTTGAAATGAAAAGAGAGAAGCTGTATAGTATT